TCAAGCAGTACAATATAGCCAATAACCAACTCAACATCAGGTACGATCAGTTGCTCTCAAATGAAATTGTTGATCCAACATCAAAATTGGATCTCTTATGGCAAGTTTCTTGGTTGCTGAACCCAAGAAGGCCATCATGGTCTGGAACAATGCAATGGTGCCACCAGGGGGAGTATCCAGGCAAGTCATCTGTTATCTTTTTGCCAATGATCGATTTGGATCCCAGCAATGTCACTTGTATTCACTCTACCTTAGACTTTGTTTCTCGCCATGCCAAAAAATATGATGTGACATCGATTCTCACTTTTGATCAGCCGCTATGGTGGAAAGCCATTTGTATCATCAAAGGGGAGCCAATTGATAGCCCTTTGCATCAAATAATTTTGCGACTTGGAGCTTTTCATACAGAAATGAGTTTCCTCGGAAGTATTGGATATCTCATGAGAGGGTCAGGATTGCAAGAATCTCTCGAGCTTATATATGCTGATAATGTTGTCCCACATATTCTCACTGGTAAAGCTATCTCCCGAGCAGTACGTGGCCATCAGTTAGTCGAAACAGCTCTAAATGCTATTTTGTTATCGAAAGCCTGTGATGTACCATTGCCTACAGATGCTGACAGAGAGCAGGATGCTGCCGATACAAAAGGAGAGGCTCAAGAGGCTCAACAGCGTGACAGAGGTGCAGAGGCAGCTGCTGAGTTAGAAACCCCAGAAGTATCCAGTGATTTGAGGAATTTGAAAGATATGTTTGAGTCACTGATGCAAGGAAGGGTTTCTATGGGATATGTTTGTCAATCACATGATCTTGAGGATGTAAGGCAGAAAATACTCGATGCCAAATCGTCTTCAAGCAATTCCAGGACAGGAAAGCTTTGGTTGCAGTACCTTGAAATGATAGAGATTCTTCGCACATTTATCAAAGCTGAGAGGACCGGAGATTGGAACCTGCACTTGCAAACTGTTCAAGCTATGTTGCCAAGCTGAAAAAATGACAGGTCAATATTGCAAAGATTTTGTGCTCAAAAGAGCAAACCAGGCCATTACGCTTGATGCAAAAAAGCACCCAAAGGAAACAGATGGAGACATTCATGTAGGACCCCAGCTGTTATTTCAAAAACTTATTGCCGTTAAAAGTCATACCACTGAAGATACATCAAAACTTTTCAGCTACGAGCTCTGTTCTGTTCCAGCATCTTTATTTGAAACAAATGGCTCCTTGAGAAAAGCTAACAAGCCCGTCCTGGCGAGTACCATAAGAAAAATGGTTGACACAGAGATTGAAATACCATCGCAGCCAGTAAGGTATGTTTTAGATAAGGGGTTCTTTGCTGCAACAGATATCTTGGAAGCGTGGAGCATCATATGCCTCCATTATCGATAGTTATGTGGCATATGTGAAAAGGAAGTACACAAAAGCTTTCATAGTTTTTGATGGGTATACCGCTGGTCCTTCGCCCAAGGACATGACACATCAACGAAGAGTTGGCTTGTCGTCTGGAACAACGGTGAAATTCGAAGAAAATATGCTTCTTACTATAAGGAAAGAAACCTTTCTTGCAAACAAAGAAAACAAGCAAAGGTTTATCAACATGCTTGCAGCAAAGTTGAAGGCAGAGGGCTGTGATGTCTACCATGCTGATGCTGATGCTGATCTTCTGATTGTTCAAAAAGGGATTGAGGCCTCAGTGGAAGAAGAGACGGCGGTGATTGGTGAAGACACAGATTTGCTTATTTTGCTCATTTACCACGCAAACAAAGAGTCGAAAAAAATCTACTTCTACTCTGAGTCCAAGCAGAATGCTAGAGGTACAAATTTCTGGGATATTAAACTATGTAAGGAATTGTTGGGCAAAGATATATGCAACAATATTTTGTTCCTACATGCCATTCTTGGGTGCGACACAACATCTAGCTTGTATGGCATCGGTAAAGGGTTATCGTTGAAGATATTCCAACAAAATAAACACTTACAACGACAGGCTGCAGTGTTCCAGAATGATCTTGCCAACTCCGAGGAAATAGCATCTGCTGGGGAGCATGCCCTCGTTTGCTTATATAAAGGAAAGGAAGGTGAAGGACTCGATGCCTTGCGTTACAATACCTTCTGTGATAAATTTCTTCTAAATCTGTTATCAGCCCACAGGTACTTCCACCCACCTCTTCTGCTGCTAAGTATCACAGTTATCGAGTTTTCGCTCAAGTAATGCAATGGAAAGGAAGAGATCTCGATCCTACAGAATGGGGGTGGATCATTGAAAAAGGGAAAATGATGCCTTTGCAAACTGATCTTCCATACGCACCAGAAGAGCTCCTCAAGTTGATCAGCTGTAATTGCAAAAAGGGGTGCGCAAATCTTCGATGCAGTTGCAAAAAGAATGGTCTGAAATGCACAACGTGTTGCGGAGAATGCCGCAGAGTGAGCTGCGAGAACGCCATGCAGGCAGATATGGAAGAAAATTTGGAGGACAGTTTGTGAATAATTTAGAATGACCAATATCTAATTAATTTGTTTGATAATTTTTCGTTTTTGATTATTTAGATACTTTGGTTTGGTTTGGTATAGTTTGGTTGTTTTCGTATTTTGGCTTGAAATCAAAAGCGTCAATCGCATTCAAGACTCAAAATAGAGAAATAATACCCTTGTTAGTCCAAATTTCATGAGACTTTGCAAAGCGAAAATCATTTTGTAGATAGGTAAGACGAATTGAGACGAGTTAAGACGAGTGCATAATTACTGAGCGACTCTAAAAACGCCTAATTTGGTAGAAGACCATATTTTGCAGCATTCACCATATTTCAAAATTTAGCCAATGTACTACCTTAAATGGCATTTAAATTTTCCAATGTTCCACTTCAATGATTTTCTAGGACTTTTTTGCTCAAGGTATAAATACATTTTGTAATCTTTTTAGCATGTATTCATTCCTGTTGCAATTTGTTTGACCTTACACCACAAATTGACTGGAGTATTAGTCATGCACTTTCAAATGTGCATGACTAAAACCCTATGATTGGTCATGCAAAATCACGCGAAACGATGGAAACAGCCCTGAAAACATGATGATTATTACGTTTTAGTCATGCACTTTTGGAATGGCATGACCATGACCTTGATCGCATTGTTTCTCTGTTCGAGTTCAAAAAGTGAGACTGAAGAAGAAGTATGCTAGTTCACGAGGAAAGGGATTTCGTGAAATGTTACCCTGCAAGTAATATAGCAGCAAGGAAATGAGGAAAAATAACAGTTCCATGGTTTTAAAGGATTGATGTAGCAAAATAAAAGTTGGCAGTGGAACAGATTCTTCCTGTTGTGGACTATGTTTGCTAACACATACATTTAGGCCTGTGTCAACGAGGATATGACATGCACGAACTAGGCCTACGGCGCCTGATAATAAGGCAGGCAACGCTCATATTGCAAGAAAAACAATGAAACAAACTGCTTGGTTTTAATATCATTTTATTGCTGATAATTGGCAAGCCCAAAGTATTCCATGCTTTGATAATGAAAGGGCTAGTGGACTTACATGCTAAATTTCCATTGAAATATTCAGAATGAGTGTCTCTAGAACTTGTTGTTAGTGAAAGAAACACAAATGCTTCATTGTTGTTGCTTTT